GATCGAATGTAGGATAACATTTTAATTTTTTCACAAACAAGTACTACATTTTGACTAAAAAAAATTTACAGGTATTAAGAAAAAACTTTTCAGTGTGGAATCTACAAACAGATTTCCGCAAGTCCATTTCGCAAGTAAAAGATATATTTGCTGACATACTGGTCATCGAAATTTCATCTACATTTTCACGTTTTCATTTACCCGGACGGACATCTACAAGGTCGATTCCGCATGTCAATCTCGCAGATAAAGTGGTAGCTGCTGCCACAGTTTTCGTCTGCCCATTGCCAATTGTAGGCAGGCCAGAAAGCCACGCACTGTGCGCCGCCACTGTTTGGCTGAGAACTCTGAAAGTCTGAGAACTGCCAGTTTCGGTATCGCTTGGAGATATACTGCCATCCTGAGTTGTCTGCATTGTGGTCGTAACCGTCGATATACCAGAAATTATCAGTGTAAGCTGGAAAATAAGTTAAGTGTAATAGGCTGGATAATTATAACATGGAGTGTGCTAATGATGATGACATCGAAGAAAATCACAGTGACGGCTTAAAAATATGAAGGTAAGAAAAGCATTGTTTTTTTTTTCAAGACGTATCTTACGGTTTTATTGGAAAATTCTCAGGGAAAGTTGGCAGCAAAAACTGTCCTGTACCTTAATTGATGTCTGCGGACATCACCTGATTCTAACTGCCATGTTTCCTTTTTTCTCATTCTATTCATTCACTCAAGAAAAATTCATTCCCCCCCCCCCCTCACACACACACATGGCAACGCGCGCTCGCACAAACACGTAGAACACGATCAGTGGTACTCCACACACAAACTTACAGGGATTGTCGCGGACCGTTTGTTTCAGCATCTCGTTTTCGGCAGAATCTTCGATCACGGCAATATCAGAACCGGGATAATCGGCCTGACACGCCGTACGGGAGGCAGCAAACGTCTTCAAACTTGTATCAAATCTGTAGCAAGAACATCGCCAGAGAAAATACCCGCTGGGGCACTGACAAACTGGAATGAGATGAACGCCTTATTATACTCAGAAGATGAAATGGTGTAGCCGTGTTTATTAAGAACAGACTATTATTAGTGATATCACAAACCATTACCAAGGTGACACTATCACCCCCCTCCCCCCAATAACTGAATGGACTGTGTATTAGCTGATTAATAATGATAATAATAATAAAAGTATAAAATCATCCTAAATATCACGGTCTTTCTTTTGAATCCGTTGCACTGAAATGTGGAATAATCGAAATATAAAACAAACAAAAAAAACGTCTGCCAAAAAGACAACATTCGATTGCACGCAGAACGGGAAAATTTGGCGTGAAACATGAAATGTGACAATCGAAAACATACCAACAAGCATACTTACAAACCTAGCATCAAAATAAGTAAATAAAAAACAAACAGCCAAACTCTCGAACGAAGAAAGAATAGAAAAATTAGCAGCAATTACGTGTAGCATTATTCTCTCTGCAGGCAGTGTATGCCACGCGGTCTCCACTCATGGCTCCTGCAGTATAAGATAAAGCTGCTGCCGATCCGGACAGTGAAGCGACACACTTCTGGACCCCGCACTGGTGAAAACCAAAGGTGTTTCCATTGGTTCCTCCGCTCGCTGAGTTGATACCAAAGGCGGAATTTACCAATGAAGCGATGTTGGAGGATGGATTGCAGCTAAGGGTGTCGCGTATGTTGATGTCATCGTTGTAGTCTGATTCACACCTGATGAAAATATACATAATATGTAAAAAGTGTATTTTGTTTACATCTTAGGCCTACTTATGTTATTCTTAATAAAACCTTTACATTAGTTTCGTATCAAATGCAATGGCGACCTAAACAAATTATTTGTTGACTATTAGGGTATAAAAAGCAAATTTTAAAAGAAGTTACTAGCTAGTAAGTATATGAAGTAGACAGTATAATCTTACTAAACTACCGGGTTAAAAGAATGCATAATGCATATGGTTAAACACAAACGCAAAACAGAACTCGATCAAAACAAAAACAGAAGTAACCTTAAATATTCCGTGCTTGAGGTAGTGATATGCGGCCTGGAACACCCAGTGGGGGAAAAGGGCCCCAGGAAACTGCAGAGGTTTTTGTATTCCGTGCAACAGTCTCCACTGGAGCACATGCCGTCTTCGGGGAGGAGGACCTTCACCGCCAGGAAGTCGTAGTTGCCGTACGTGGTGCGCATAGTATCCAGAACCTTGAAGGAGGTTGGGTTGGTGCCTGAAAAAAAGTATGCGGATAACATAGGCTGCGCTTATGGGAGTGGAGTGTCGTTTATGAAAAGATGGAACGTGTATCCGTTGCACGCCTTTCACCACTTTTCTTTTTAGCAAAAGAGCCTACATATATTTGGGTCTGAAAAGACAAATACGAAAGTAGAAATCTTTGGAGATTTTCAAGATTTAAAAAATTCTCAACCCTTTCTTCTCCTTTGAAATGTCATTTTGATAAACTCACCAAGTTAAAAATAACACAAAGCAACAGAAAAAACTGTGAAATCATGTGGGAAAGACTAACGAAAAAAATCATTATCATTTGTTTACTTTACATATGAAGTAGCCTCTATGATTTTAATGAACAGAAAAATAAAGGTTAGGTACGACGACGCCGGGCGGTCA